GGACAAACATAGTTCTCCATACGAGATGATTTATGATCGCCAGAAGTAACTGGCTCCGAGTTGCGGGTACACCGCACGCAGGTACTGCATGCTAGTATACCACGCCCGAGGCCCCCGGGTTGTTGGTGTGCCGCATTGCTACGTACCCCGTGCAAAGTATCGCGTAGTCATGTGTCGAAAGTTACGATATAGAACCGGGTAGAGGCCAAGTGTCCTTATACCCCTAAGTTCTGATGGAGTCCCAGCGGATTCCATCAGAGTATACACCTGATTTATTAACCAAGTGTCTATAAATCCCAGATTCTGATGGAGTCCCAGTGACCATCCGAATGTGCACACCCGGCCAAGTGTTCGGGAGTGAGCAATGGAATCCCAATGAATTCCATCCGAATGTGCAAACCCGGCCAAGTGTTCGGGAGTGAGCAATGGAATCCCAGTGAATTCCATCCGAATGTGCTCACCCGGCCAAGTGTTCGGGAGTGAGCAATGGAATCCCAGTGAATTCCATCTGAATGTGCACACCTGGCCAAGTGTTCGGGAGTGAACAATGGAATCCCAGTGAATTCCATCTGAATGTGCACACCCGACCAAGTGTTCGGGAGTGAGCAATGGAATCCCAGTGAATTCCATCTGAATGTGCACACGATACCCGACCAAGTGTTCGGGAGTGAGCAATGACCTGCAAGTAGGTCTTACCAGTTAAATATCACCTGGTAGAGATCTCCGCCTAACCAGCTTACCCTGGTCAGCCTGGCGTGAGTGCAACAGACCTTGTCTAATCGGACTAATCCGATCAGCCTGACAAGGCAAACATATTCGTCTAATCGGCTGAGCCGATCAGCCTGACGAAACGTACAGCATACCTTGTCTAATCGGGCCAGACCCGATCAGCCCGACAAGGTAGACGTGCTGTCTAATCGGGAAAAGCCCGATCAGTTTGAAGAAGCACATAATGGAACCTATCTAATCGGGTAAACCCGATCAGCCTGATATGGTTAACACTTTCGTCTAATCGTGCAGCACTCGATCAGCATGACGAAGTGTACGGTAAATCTTGTCTAATCGGGTGAAACTCGATCAGCCTGACAAGGTAGACTGCCAAAGTAAAGAATTACAGCTCAGTTCTCCCCAAGATTAGGAGCGTCGCCATAGTCAGGGCGATGCTGCTAAGAGGGAAAGATAGCTAGGTTTCCTCTAAAGTTTTAATGTTCTGCTCTGGGACTTTCCAGAAGCACATAGC